GAAAAAATTTCAGGTAATCATAAGGTCCCAGTGGAAATGCAGAAGATCCCAGATGTTTTGGTTTCTTGAGGCCCAGGGTATTTACTGGTGCACATATAGCAAAAACAGCAGAGTTTGTGTTTATGTTGAGGATACCTTAACAGTACTGGTGAGAAAAAAGTATTTTTAGAAAAAAAAAATGGCAGCGCTCAGCCACTTTTTTAAAGTCTTAAGTAGTTTGCAATATAGTTAAGCGTGGCCTAATCTCACTGTGGTCTCTTTCCTTCCTTTCTTCCCACTCCCAACCCTCTCTGAAAACAAACGTAGGCTATGATGAGGCTATAGTGCCGTAGCTGATCATTTGTTAAATAAGGCCTGTAGTGATGACCAGCTTAAGATGTCTCTTAGCATCACTTACATGAGATGGATCTAATATCACTGGCCTTAAAATTATGGCTATGAAAGCTGCCAAAGAGGTGGGATGCATTTTGCACTTCTGCGGGGGCTGGGTGCAGGTGCCAGTGGCCATTGCAGTCCTGACAGGTCCTGAGGCCACCTCACCACTTGCGAGCACTGCAGCCCAGCAGGACACTACATCTGAAAATGCACTTCTGGAAGTTGAGCCTTGACCCACTGGAGTTGCAAAGTGCAATTCACAAGAGCAGTACAGAGAATGTACAGGATTTTTTCCCCCCTAATCCCCCTAAGGTAAGAGCACTGCATGGCAGTATTTCAGATAGAAAATGAAGCAGAACTGTTTTAACTTCTGAAGAGGTTTATCCTTTTTACACTGTGGTTTAAACGTCAGAGTGTAAATATATTAGAACATTTTGCACTCACAAAGTGGAGGGTACATGGAACTCGTTGTGAATAGACAAGACTTCTAATAACTGAATGCATGTTTAGCGTGACAAATCTTGTAGTGACTTTTAATAGACTCCTTTGGCTTACAGGGATTCCGATCAATGACATTACACATTAATCTCATTCGGTAAATACATCTATGTTTTGTTACTGTTACTGTAACTCCTGAGGCAACTTTCTCCTTTTTGTAACTGTATGTAAATATGTGTAACTTTTAAAAGTAATATTTGGGGGGGGGGGGGGTTTTTGTTTTTTTTTTAATATAGTAGTAACTTTTAAAAATTATTTTTGGGGGGGGGGGGTGTTGTTGTCTTTTTTTTAATATAGTAATGAAATGTGTTTTTAAAAATGTACTAATATGCCATAAAATGTATTAAAGGTGAATGATCTGCCAAATGAATGTTCTGGAGCATGGTCACTTTTGTTAAAGATCTGCATTATTTTAGTGATTGTCTCATGCTGGAAGAATGTAATGTTTACCCTTCATTTTTGATAAGAGGCATAGTACTGGGGGGCACAGCTAGTCATCACTTTTGCCAAACTGAACAGTTTTTCAGTTGTGCTTTTAGATTTTGCAGAAGTGCCTCCTAAACCAGGTACAGATATTGCTTTGAGGGCCAGAGGGTCTGTTGCATAGCATTCATGTCTGCTTCCCTGGTGTCACGTTAATTCAGAATAGTGCCTTTATGTAAAGTCTTAGGTCTCAAACTATGCCCTTAATCCCATCTAGCTGGGAACCCAGCTGCAGATGTGGCTAGCAGGTACATGTGAATTGTCCAAGAAGATAGTATTTCATCTGCAGTGTGGCATCTGAGACTAAAACAGTTAAGACAGGAAGGGAGGGCTAATAGGAATTTTTCAATCCTCCAGCACTTGTCCAGCGCTCTTGTATAACTGTATTGGTATTTCTAGTAGCAACAGTCATCAAGTGTGGCCCTGCTCTGCTTGTCCTGGCCATTAAAACTAGAACCCAGGTCACAGGCACCTACCTCTGAAAAAACACTTGGCTGGGGTGTTAGGCACCAGTGTGGGAGATAATATATTGAGACAAGAGAATCCTCATTCTTTGCTGTAACCTTTTCAGCTGGACTGTCTGTTCCTTTCCCTTGATCTGCTGCGATTGAACAGTATATCCTGTCACTGATGGCACAAACCAGCTAGCTGACGGGATTCGTACTTTAATGGGCAGCTTACCCCATACATATACATAAGATGTAGTGCTAAAGGCCAGATACTTCTCTTATTCAGGGAGAGTAATAAAGCAGATTTTATTTGACTTGTATAAATCCACTTTAATTTGCTTTCCTTCTAACACTTTAATTAACATGTAAATTAGCTGTCCTAGAGCTGTTAATTATCTTTGCAGAAAATGTTGGATATGGTCATATAACGTACTCTTTTTTTACTGCTCTTCATGTTTTATACTGAAATATACCCATAAATATTCACTATTTTTTTTTAAGAAGAGAACAAAGAGGCTAAGGCTCTGTGTCATCTTGTATGGAAACAACTATCTTGCTTCACCATTATTCACCAGCCTGCTACCATGTTAAACTGATGCTCATGTTAGAAGTTTAGCATTGGTTTGGCCTTTGAAGGTTTTGGGGATTTTTTTTAAGTGCCTGGCAAAAAAGGGAGCAGAGGAGGATGGCAGGTGCTCAGACAAAAGCAGCGTCTTCTCTTACAGGATGTCTTGTGTTAAAAATTTGGCAGTGGCAGTGAAAGAGGTAAGCATTACAAGTAAGAAAATGGCTGCAGTCCCAGTTTCCAAGAAGCTGAGAACAAGCCAATTAATCTTCCTATGAAAAAAAGAGAACTCTCAACTTTTTAAATTCATCTTCTCTCCAAAAAAAAAAAAAATCTGAAAACAAGGAGTTTTTTTTTAGCTTCACCAACTGCTTACAAATGCTCTCCTTCCTTTAATAATAAAAAAATGTTGATGCTTCTCTTAAGAAGTTACCATGGCAAGTTGCAGTCTGTTTATAATTTTTCACTGCCTGCTTGAAACAAATGGCATCTGTAGTGTACAGTCTTACTGCAGAAGCAAAGCAAAAGCCCGCGCAGCTACAGCAGATAAGACACATCTAGCACTGTGCATTATCCTCACCAAAATCTTGGGCTTCTGAGAAGCACGACTGCTGGCTTGGCTAATAAATGACAGATGACTCCATTATGAAGATCACGTCTGCTTTGAGCTGAGCAGCAATACTTCATGAGTCAGCCCACCATGGTAAGTGACCTACAGCCTTACCTGAAACACTTGTCCTATGGGCTCTGGTGGAATACTGCGTAAAGGTAAGTGAGAAGCAAAGCAGGCACGCAGGAGTACTTGCCTGGAGTTTCTACAGTGCATGCTTCCCCCAGCTACGCTGTCATAGTCTGAACCATCGAACTCAATCATCTTTTAAACCTTTTGTTGGCAAGAACCTGCACAGAACAGGTTACAGTAGTTGCTTGCCTGTTAGTCTTACTCCGTGCATTGCAACCTTCTCCTAGGTACGCTCCCTGTATGGATGCACAGGTCACCTGAGCAACAGTTTTATTTCCAGTGGTGCACATGTGTCTTAAATTTGTCCTCAGGCTTGCATGCAGTTGCTCCATGTCTAGTTCCACTTTTTAGCCTTCCCAGCTCATGGTCAGTGAACATCACAGCGTTCGTCAGGGCTGCCTGGTCCTCTGCCGCAGCATGGCTTTACCGCGGCTGCTGAGGTGAACAGGGAGCACGCAGCTGCTCAGTCCCTGGTACAAAATAAGCAGACTGCATAGCTGATGGTCAGCAGAAATGCACAGCGAGAACAGTAGCTCCACACACTTCAACCTTCTACCAGCCTGCCAGTTTGATGTCCAAGTTGAGCTTTTCTGTGAGTGGGCAAACATGACCAGGCTGTAAGTGACAGTTCCTCTCTCCCAGGAGGATTCTGCCCTCCCCAGCCCTTTGCTTGTGGCTTAGTTTCAGGATGTAACAGCCTGTGTTGCACATGCATAAACTTAGGTTCCAAGACCAGCTCTTTCCTTGTCTGCACTGTGGAAATAAGACTGACATGGCATTTTCTTACAAAGCAGCAGAATGGGAACAGAGACACTACTTCATTATTAAACTGTCTTTAGTGTAAGACATTCATACACTAATGACCTCTGTCATCAGCGGGTCTCAGCTAGGCACCGTATTTCCACAGTATTTGCATAGATAATATTCAAGCAGACTATAGCATTTCTTCAAAAAGGGACTGTCATTGTCCATGTGCTTTTTTCATTGTAAAGTATGTTGTTTGGCTTGCTGTGAACAGAAAAAAACACAGTGAGTTTTGGAACTGTGGCAGAAAACCAACTAGGGATGCCTTTGATCTCATTGTAGGTCGGAGCAATATTTTGAGAGGCTGCCCCATCCTTTTAGAATAGCTGAGGCATGTTATTACAGTGCCATTACCAGCATAGCACTGTGAAGAGGTCACTGTCATATGGGGGTTCACTTGCCTGGTCTGGAGTAAAAACGCATTTCTGGCTGATGGCTGGGCACCACTTCTCATGGCTGTGCTTTACAGCCTCATAGTACACGCCTTGCACTTTAACACAGGAATGAGTTTAGCAAGTAAGTACTAGAGCCTGCCAACACTGCGCGTAGTTAAGATCTAGAAGAAGATACTGTCTAAGCCTTGTTTCCACAGCAGAAATTTAGTAGCAGAACAAGACCAGGGTTACTGCTACAGTTACACTGGTATATATTCCCCTTTTGGATGTTTGTTCCAGAGTAACTGGAGCAGTCTAACTATTCAAGAAAAGGGTGCTTTATTTCAAGTGACAGAAATTGATTAAAGATAGATTTCCCAGGAAAATGTTTTTCCTAAAAATCTTTCCTCCATACATCATTACATGTTCTTACATATGACTTGTACCTGAAATGAAATAAAACATTTTAAGATGGATTAATAAAAAGGAATAACTTAGACTAAAGAGCTTGTTGAACAAGCTGTAGATAGTGTTAGGTTTTATATACTCTACACTTCCCTCCAGGGGCAGTATCTTTATCTTTAAACATCAGAATGAAATGTAGCATGGACAGAGGATCTATTTCCTTAAATAAAAATCTTTGTGCAAAAGATTTGTTCTCATTTTGCATCATAATTATGATTTCTGTAGAAACATCAAGGGGACAGATTTTAAAATTCTAAATTGGTATTAGTGTTAAAGGTATTTTTGTTTTGTTCTAAGACAAGCAGTTTGTCAAACCCTTCTGACAGCACACCACTGTCTTCATCATCACTAAATGTAACCCAGTGACTGAAATCTTTCAAGCTGGGATGTTTTACATTTTTTGGAGTGTGTGCTGGAGAAGTAGCTGATAGCGCCTGTATGGAAAGAGGGCAGGAAGAATCTGTGTCCAGGGCCAAAAGACTGATGTTCTCTGCAAGGGAGCTGGTATCTGAGAGCTGTGGATGCTGGCCTTCTGGTAGAGGAGGGCCCTGAAGGTTAGCCATCAATTCTGTAGCATTTGGTGCCAACTGCTCAGCTGTGCTGTCTTTTGGGCTGGCAGAGGATGTACGAGCTGCAAGAGCAGAGTGCGCGAGGACGTGAGTCTGGGGGCAGAAGCCAGGATTGTTGTTGTTGGAGTTGAACATTAACCCACTAAAAAGTGGGTTGTCACTGCTCTGGAGAACTTGCAGATGAAGAGCTGCAGGAGCAGACTTCTTTCTTCGTGGTGGCACCTTCGGGGCAAAGGAAGCGTTCTGGGGAGGCAGTGTGATGGCCTCAGCCATGCTTGCTGAGAGGGGCTGCCTTTCACTGCTCCCCCTGCTCTCCTGAGGCTTCCCAGGTTGTGCTGTTCTAGGTTTAGGGATTGGAGTAACCCTGGTAGGACTAAGAATAGCTCCGGCTTCTAGACAGGGCTCTGTCAGGCCAAAAGGAGACTGTTGGTCAAATTGCTCTTCTGTAGACGTGACCTAAGGGGGAAAGGGAACAAGAAATTTGAGAACAAAAATGGTACCTTAAACTCTGAGTCACTACTAGTGCAAGCCTGACTGATGACATTACTGAGAAAAGCTGACAGTACTGGAAGAAAAAAAAAAAGCAGTACAAAGAGAAGGCTTGACAGCACAGGTTTACACTGTACCTGCTCCGTTCTGTTCTCACACATCGTGTCTTGGACCCGTGTTCCTTTACAGAGTGCTATTTGAGGACAAGGACCCTACAGCCTGTTCGCTCCCTGTATGAAAATACATCTCCTTCTGACCATCTCTCAGGATTTTGCTCCAGGCCAAATTAACACAGTTCTGAAGAGTTACTTATTTGTTACATCTCTCTGCTGTCTAAAATTATTTAAGCAAGAATGTATAGGGAGGGCTAAATTAATGGGGACATTAGCACATGCTTTTGGGTATGTTCTGATACATAAGGTTGAAGGACAATTAGCTTAAGCCAACCCAAGAAATACATTAATGGCTCTGTCATGTCTCATTGATGCTAGGAATTGAAGCTAAAAGTAAGCTCTCAAGGTACAATCTAGCATATATTCAACATTTAAAAACATATCTAGAACCCAGTTCAGTCCAAGAGGGCAAGGGCTGCTTCAGATTTCTCACACTCAGTATGACTGAATGAAAGCATTTTAATTCTTTATTACTCTCCCATAGTATCAGAAGATACATTATCGCTCTCTACAACTACCTAAAAGGAGGTTGTAGTGAGGTGGGTGCTGGGCTCTTCTCTAAAGTAACAAGTGATAGGACAAGAGGAAACGTCCTCAAGTTGCACCAGGGGAGGTTTAGGCTAGATATTAGAAAAAATTTCTTCACTGAAAGAGTGATCAGGCATTGGAACAGGCTGCCCAGGGAAGTGGTGGAGTCACCATCCCTGGAGGTGTGCAAGAAACACGTAGATGTGGTGCTTAGGGACATGGTTTAGTGAGTTAGGTGGTGCGGGCTGACAGTTGGACTTGATGATCCTTGAGGTCTTTTACAACCTTAATGATTCTATGATTCTAAGATAATATACAGGCTTTTTAATGCAGTCAAAATATCCAGTCAATATTTCCTGATGGACATCTCCCCTGCCACTTCTGTCTGTATGCTGTTGTTAGTTGCCTACATTTGATTGCATGCTTTTTTAACGATTAGAGGTGGATTGGACAGAGGTTTTCCAGTACATAACTCCCATCTGAATTCACTCAGATGGAGGAAGGAGTGAGTAGAGTCAAACTGAAATAGATGTATTCCTGCAGGAGATTTCATGTAACTAACATCAAAATAGCCATCCCTCTCAGCACCTTTCAGGAGTGCCCTGGGAATGGCGACAACATAAACAAAATAAACAGACCATTCCTTGTTATTGAATGTTTAAGGGAAGGGCACACCCTGTGTTATCTGTTTGGGTTTTTTTTTCTTTTTTAATCTGTTAAGTAGAGATTGTACAGTCTACGATAGAGAAGGTGTGAATGCCATTACAAAAGGCAAGAGTCCTACCAACTTAGCACAGAGCCTCCTAGCAGAGGTTCTGTGAAAGGAAGAATAGAAAAAGTAATATTTGTCCCTCTCCTGTACTTAAATTGCTTTCACCATTAAATACTAATTTTAGCAGCTCTAGAGGTGAAGAACTATTACCTCCATTGTAGACCTGACAGAGAGACAGATTTAAACCCCAACACCTACAGGTTTATATTTTTAAGAACCTGAAATCTTGGGTAGAATCCAGAATCCAAAGTGAAGGGCTGAATCCCACTATAAGGTGTGTGAGAAATGTTAGATGTTTCTGAACAGGACTCAGAACAGCATACTGATCAAGAAGCTGCCTCAAATCAATACAGAGCAGACCACTGCTGTGGTCAAAAGTAAACACTGTGATAAAGAAGGAAGGGATGAGTCTTAAATTCTAGCAAGGTTTAGGCAAACCAGAAGTAACAAAATCTCTGAAAGAACTAACATATAGCAAAGCCGAATATGGCTGAGTAAGGAGCTCAAGGCTCTTTTTCCTTTCTGATCTCCTAGTACATTTTTTTGCCTTGATGACCACAACACACAAAATCATTTTAGTGCCAGCTGGCTGAGAACTTTAAAGGACAGGACTTAACACAAATTGTTTATTGCCATCCTTCACACTGTGTAACAGAGGGTGGATGAATTTTGCTGGAACTATCTTACATTTTCAACCTTGACTCCGGTCCTTTGCAGAGGTACTGGCTGCTTCTTAGTTGGAACTTTGGGTGGTGGGCGATGGGGTACAAGCACTGGTGCTACCTGCGATCCTGGAAACGATGCTGACTTTGTGATGCTAGGAAGAGGCTCGGTTTTGAACATTTGGTTTCTAGTTGGAGCAGGCTTTACTGCATCTTCCTGCAGTCCTGAAAAGCAAAAACAATTAAGTGTCTTGGCTTGATCAGAATGTAGCTTCAAGATCTTTCACAATCAGGTTACCCAAAATGCGCATGCCTAAAGGGAATATGCTGGGGGAAGGAAGGTAAGTTTTAGAAATAAACACAGACCTTTGTAATCCTGTCACATTTGTAAGAGACAGTTAGGGAAAAACTCCCATGTCTGAAATAATTTCATGCCAAACCAGCAGTGCTGTGCCACCATTTGGCCAAGTGGATAAAACACTGTCAAGGGAGTTCAAGAGTACTGGACTTACATCCTGAGTCTCCTTTTGCCCTGGTTTCCTTATCTGGAAAATCAAGATAATGATACCGAGCACATCTTGTAGGGTACTTTGGGAAAAACTGCAAATGCCAACTGGTGGTACAGCACAAGGGACTGAAAGTGATGCTGACCAGACTAATTTCCTTACCCACACTGAGTGACATGCTTTATGTGAATTTCAAAAATCAATGGAGAGTAAATCTGATTTCAAAACCAAATCTACAGCATTCTCTGAGGAACAAACATCAAGATGTCTTTATAATATTTCTAATTAAATTGGATTATGCCAGACTGCATTTGCTATACTTACAAATGAAAAGGGATGTTCTTCTCCTAAACCAAGAGCCTTGCCAACTCAAGTGGCTATCTCGGAGTCATGCTGCATTCTTTCTCATTCATACAGCATCATCAGAAAGACTACTTGCAGGCCTGGAGGGTATATTCACACTGCCTAAGTTGCAATACCTAAGATAGTTTCCTGCTCTAACTTGCCCTTGCAAGAAGGTCTCTTCTCCAGGGCTTAGACAGAGAGCCTAAACACAGAGGAGCCTTCTAGCTTAGCTATTCAAGCTAAAGCGGTGCGAGCTTCTATCTAGGTTACAACTACCCTTGCTGCCCAAATGTGAACAGAATCCAGGTTATTTCTCCCACAGCTGTATTTGCTCTCTAGTTCTGCTTGGAATATTGAGCATTCACTAAATAGAGCAGCAAATATCCTTTATGCAACTCTGAGCTAACCATAGGCACCATCAGTTTAGTAAGATCCCACCTTTATCTTTTAATTTTTCAGACTGAATCAGGACATAAATAACCCAAGGTGCTCCTAGTAACAGGTTCCACAACAAAATATACAACTTGAGTCATCTTGAAAAAAGAAGGTTAATGTTATCAAAACCGACAGAGAACACCAAGTACCATCTTGCAAGAATGTATATGTCAGCGTTCAGGTGAGCTTCTGAAAAGAAGTGTGTGCATCTGGGCTATGACAGGAAGGATGAATACACCTACGGGTTTCTTTAAATAAAGATTTTTAGAAGTCAGTTAGAAAGCTGTTCTCACCTCCTTTAGCTTCCATAAGACATCTGATAGCTTCTTCTGCTTCCTCAGCTGTGGTAGTTTTGATCTGCTTGACGTTGTAAGGTTTACTTATGCCAGTCCGGACTTTAGGCTTTAAAAAAAAAAATACAAGAATGAGTAATCTTGAGAGAACTTTTTTCTTGTACACTTGTAATCTTACAGCTAAGCTCACACATCTGTGAAGTTCTGGTTTTGCCAGTGGCTACTCAGCGATCCATAAATACTACAGAAATGGGGGGAAGTCTTTTGGTACAAAATACATATAATACATCTTTGTTATCAGCTGACAGGCCAATGGCTTACTGCCACAGCTAGACCCTTAGCCATCCCTTGTTCAATACATTAGGCTTCTCATCCAACAAGACAGGAGTGGGGAGGTGTTCCCACATTCCAGTCTTGGTCTCCTCAGAGGGCTAGCAGCCTTGTTGGAAATGGTCAAGACTTTTCCTCTGTACTGGGCACTAGCATGGCCCAACAAAAAACAATGTGAGAAAAGAAAGCACATTATCATGGTGTTGAAAATTCAAATCAGTATCTGTCAGAAAGCAGCATGTGGAATAAACCAACAGTGCCCTGGTCTCACACCATTCTCCCTCTCCCTCTTCGGCCTTTCTAATTCCTGTCAATTTAATAACATTTTTTTCTGATGTCTAGTAGGTCCTGCAATCTCAGGCAGAAGAGAGGACTCCTCAGGTACGCGATGGACTTCCTTCCTTGTATGACAGGTACATCATGTACATGGTGCTCGGTGTCTACAGTGTCCATGTAGATGGGGGAGATCAGGACAATGCTAAGTGGCCATGCTGAGCGGCAGGACTCACTGGCTCCTGAGGGGCTCCAGGTAGCAGCTTTGCTGTTGCCAGGATGGAGCTGGTGGAGTGGCTTCCAGGAGAGAGGGAACCATCTGAGGGGGACTTTTTGCCTGATGTTGCGGCTGAAAGAAGAATAAAAATGGCTTTTTACATTCAAGAGCTGGTACGATATTTTATCTGCAATGAAGCAAAACCAATGTACTTTGAAATTGTTTGTGATAATAAAAGATATGCTGTCACCTTCCCTGCTCCTCCAGGGACAGACATATTAGGCAAGACCTTCCTGGAGGACACCAGGGACCCCGAGTCCCTCTGCCTGAGTGCCAAGAGCAAGGCACTTTGGTCTATGAGGAGTGAGGGGCTGAACTGTTACTGATCTAATCTAAGGTGAAAAAAATCTCAACACAGAATGAAATGCTGAAAACTTCAACTGTTTCAGGAAGCAGTTTCCTGTGAGTCTTGCTTTCATTTAATCAATTCAATAACCTCAGCTGAGCACTAACATTGCATTGCAGGCAGAGAAACACAGATACCAGTCTTGTCACTTCTGTGCAACAGACTCAGAAATGAATGGGAATAAGCCTGAAGAACTCATCTTCCAGCAGTGAGCCTGACAGAACCTTTAAGTCTGGAAAATACATACAGAAGAGAGATTTTTGTACTGCACAAAAAAAGTGATGTATAGCTTCTGTCATATAGAAAGCAAAGATGATTATGCTGATCTAACAATCAGCATTCATCCAGAAGTAGCCATAAAACCAGGAGCAGCATAGCACTGATGGTGTCTCAGGTGGGTAGAGCTCAGGTAAAGAACATCACTTCCTCTTTGTGCCTCACTGGAAATCATAAGCCCCTTTGCATTGCTTTCATAAACACAAAAGCAAGCAAGAATTTCTTGCAAAACAGGAAAGAACAAAAACTGTTCAGGACAAGAATTTTGTCACAGCTTTTTAAAAGGAGGATTACAATTAAATCAGAAACAAACTGTAAGAAAACACTCAGTTACTTTGGAAGTCAGCAGGCATAAATACTGATATTTATTTTTATTGCCACAGAGTGGCTGGTCAACTCACTAACCTCAGTGATGAGTTAGTATACAACATACAGACTATTCCAGCCTCACTAAAGGACAGGGCATTTCTTCGTGGAGTATCTGTTGTCTTAAAGATAAACTTCTCCTGTTGCTAACTGCAGCCATAGTCAGGCTGAAAGAGACTGGGAAGCAAGTACAAATACCTCAACAGCCTGACATTTCAGAATAAGGTATTTCTTTGTCACCCAGAAACTGCAGGCAAAACTGCTCAGCTAGGCCAACACAACATTCAAAAAAGTTAAACTCACCAGGAGGGGGAGGCCTCTGTGGTGGCTGAAGTGGCCGAGGCCTGGTAGGAATGGACAGAGACCTGCTTGGAGTCCGTCGGCAGGATTCCCCACTTGCCTCCAGCTCTTGCTTCAAATCGGCCAGGTCTGTATCATCTAGGGAAATTTTAGAAAGGACCTGTATTAGATATCCGCCAGGTGAGATGCACCAAATCTGGGTGGTCAGGAGAAAGGCAATTATGAATGGCAAGCCTCAACCAGAGCTCTCAGCAACATGACATGGCTCCTTTCATGTTGTTTTGCTCTCCCCAAATGTCTCCCTGCTCCCACTGCAGGAAACATCTACCCTTTTGTCAAACACTTTCTCTCTCTTTTCCAGCATTTATTAACTGTTTGTGCTGACACAAAGACTGCCTGCATCAGATTTCAGGGTTACTAGTCAACTTGTCAGATTCTGAGCTTTCCACAGCCAGACTTGGCGGCAAGCTGCTCTCATTCAAACTGTGTCATGGCAGCCACAAGAAGGCTAGTCATAGTCAATCCCTTGCTCTTCCTTCCTGGACACAGGAATTCCCTCTGAGGATTAGACAACTTTCCTTGCTCAGGAGAACTGGTTTTATGCCAGAAAAAAATCTGTCTGAATGGCTCACTCATCACTTTCCAGCAACATCTCTAAACAGGTATACCTGCCTCAATTTGCTGTCCCTTGGCTGCACCTTACATGACTAGGCTATTACACAGTCCTTCATCCAGTCTAAGCCTCTCAGACAGCTGGAGAGGTGAGAAGCAGCGATTGCTTTAGTCTCCCAGTCTGCTATACCGTGAGGGCTTTCACTTCAGTTCTCTCACTCCGCCATGGCTGCCAAGCCATGCAGCTCTGTTCTTCAGGGCTCCAAACTCCACTGGGTTTAGTTTTGTCCCTGTGGTTTGGAGAGGACAGGGAAGGAATTGTGGTAGCAGCAGCCTCTCATACTTCAGGCATTTTTATACAAGTTCCTATTTTTCAGAAAGCTGTGCTCTGCAGGGAATACTGAGCTGCCTCACAGTTTCCTACTCCCACTCAGTAGTGGATGGCAGCCACAGAGAGACAGCCTGTGATCTGCCCAACCTGCCCACCCCCTTCTCTCTGCATTTGCATTACTTCTAAGCTGCAGATATGGGCTCATTGGCAGAATCCAAGGAGTCATGCAGTTACCCAAAAGCACAGCTTGAAATTCTGGCAGTGACACTGAATACATCACAAAAACCAGCTGCCACCACCACTCTATCCCTTCCCCTGAAAGGCTGCTGGTTTATAGGCAATGGCCCCCGGGAACATCAGTTTCATGAGGCTATGCCCTTCTCTGACCTCAGAAACACACACACACACTGCTCTGCCCATCACTGGTTTCCATCTTTGTCTAACACAAGCTATACGATCATCATACTTTCAATTAGGAGTTACTCAGGCAGAATTGGAAGCTTATGGAGGCATCTGAAATTGCAGAGATTTTCAAGATGGATTGAATATATCGTATTTTGAGTTGCGCAAGATCATAACCCCACCTTGACCTCCTTCAAACTACACTGCATAATCTCCATTCACTTTGTGATATTTTTTGTGGGGAAGAGTTAGTGTGGGTGAAAAGAACCACTGCAATTCTCTGTAGCTTAATGAATCATGACACAGTAGGCCAGAGGTGTCTGGAGGGTGAGGCCTCCTATAATACAAAGTGATTGTCTTCACAGTATTTAATAATGACAGATGACTCCCTGGCTCAGGGGTAGGTTTCTGGGTCTGGCCCCAATACACCCAGCATATGACCCAAGGTGGGCAAGAAAGCTGTATATCACTCTGTTTGGAAAATCTGTCTGTGTAAACACAGGAATTTCATCTAATGTTTTTTAACTCTACTTCTGACTCAACCTTTGAAGATCTTAAAGTTTTCATTTTTATGTCAGAAGACAAGCACTTCTGAGAGAGTGCAGAAAGCCAGCTACTGAATCACTTGCTGTCACGATGAAGTGTTTAATACATGACCCAGCTTGTCAATGCTTGGTCACCGCAGCATGTCCTGATCACATCCCTGTGTAAGACCACCACTGGCTTGGCTAGTTCTTGCTGCAGTTTTTATCAGTATTCTCTTCACAGCTTTATCTTCTCTTTACCAAGTCATTTCACAATAATGTGCAAACAAGCCAGCTGACCAGGAAAAGAGGTAACATATTTATGAAGCACCAGAAGAATGAATATACCTGTTGTGTGAACCTCAACTTCTTCACAAATAAATAAAATGGAACAAAGGAGAAACTAGGCTTCTTTGAAATAAGTCATTTGAACACAGGACCCTCCTGGACTGCCACAGCTATTGCTCAAAAGACAGGGCCAAGCCCATCACTGAATCAACAGGATTCCTTTGGTTTGATTTTGCTCTGGTCCTCACCAATAAGAAACAATGGACAATTTTTTGTTGCATGGTTTAGCGCTGAACAACACCAAATGGATAAAAAGACTTGATTTCTCCTGACTCTAAAAGGAAACCTGCATTTCTCAGCACTCTTGCCTTGCCCTGGGCTAGAGAGGAGGAGGATCTAAGCTTTATTATTTGTATTGCTTTTGTGCCTGAGTGCCTCAGTTACAGTCACTAACTCAAGGGGGGTTGAGCACTGTATAAACACGTACAAAAAAGACAATCCTTATCTTTAGAGGACCTACAATGAAAATATAACTGAACATGGAAATAGAGACAAAAGAACAACAACAAACCTTCAGGTCTTACTTTAAGGAATGTAGACAATTTACCTTTGTACAGCCGTGGGTTTTGTCCCAATCTGTTTGAATGACCAATGGATGCGAAATGTCCACAGCCCTCAGGCATATCTTCTGCTGTGTCTGCTACTAGGTGTTGACATAAAGCATCATCTAAATAATCATCTTCATCCTCCACTATATCACCTGAATTAAAATATGAGATAACAAAGACTTAGAAAGCAAATGCATACTCTCTCTCTCTCCTTTACTAATAAATGAATTTAATATATGGGTTGGGCAAGCTTCTTGTGTAATCCATATGTTTCATTAAAGTTTGTTTCTATACAGACAACTGTACCATACATTGGATTTGCTATGTGTTATAACTCTAAATTGGTAGGATGATCTAAGTAACAGTTCTCTCTACAAGCACAATGGCTTTAGTTACAATCCTCTTTTTAAGAAGTGGGGCTTCATTACAAATTAAGATACCACTGACACACATACTGTACCTTCTCTGTGCAACCAAAGTCAGTGAAGCCATTTCTCACAACTTAGCTTAGAAACCTGCTTCTCACCTTCTGAGTCATAGTCCAAACTTGAGAAGTCAAAATTTTCTTCCAGAAGACAGGAGTTTGCAGTGGGGGACATGGGGGCAATGCTGTCCCGCTTTCGAGCAATTTCCTCCTGAAGGCCCTTTAACCAATCCTTGGTCTTGGGCCAGATCTTCACTGTTCTGCCTCTGACCTAATGCAAAGAAAGAATCATTTCCCCTTTGCAAATCAACTTCACAAAATAAGAACACCTGAACATAATAAGCAAGTGCTGCCAGTCTATTGTGTAACTGCTTCAGAAACTGCTTCATTTCAGAAGCTAAATGAAAAGGAACCACTCTTCTTATGCCCATAACCAAGTTTTCAGACTGTAACAATATTCTTGAAAGAAAATTAGCTTCACAGCTCAAAAGCACTGCTGCAGCATTTGCGAAATACTTGAGAAATAAGTGAAACATCAAATATCATCAAAATGATACTGTGATAGTAATAATGGTGTGGGAGGGTTCCACTTTTGAGTCAGTAGCTTTAAAACACACAAGAATTTGCTACCTGATGCCATCTGTAAGGAGACTCTCTGCTCACAAAAGCCCAAATATGATGGTTGAAGTATATGGAAATTATATTATTAAACAGATTAAGACCACAGCTGCTTATATGTGTTGCTCCATGACATTTGGGGTGAGACATATCCAAGGCAGCAGCTTCAGCAGCAAAATTACTTTGGAAAGTTCCTGAATCAGGTTCCCAGCACCTTTACACACTGTGCACATACAACTGCATTTGGGTCTGTGCTATAAATTACATCAATTAAATGAGCCAAATTAATAGATAAAACTCCAAAGATTAAAGAAGAATGAGGGTTAAATCCATTACTTCAGTGTTAAGTTTATAGTGCAGCCCCACAAACAGTTTTGTCAGCATAAATGAGGGGGCTGATGAATTGTAGAGTATGTGCATGGGAAGGAAAAGCAGAGGAAGGGGCGATGAACTCCTACTGCCTATGCCGAGTTTGCCACGGAGGCCAATGAATCATGTTGTTCCAGCTTGGCAGAAGGAGTTTATTTAATAGACTTAAGAGAAACAAAAAAATCTCCAAACCACAATCGTGAGGCTGCCTTGGTAACAGTATAAAGTCACACATAATCTAAGGAGAAGTGACAGAACAGTGACCAAGTCCATATATTCTGCAGAGGTATCAGAGGCCACATACTAAGCACTGCTTAGGAGCTCCAAGAAAAGTTACCTCCTGCCCTCCTGAAATGGAAATACTGCATTTCCTCAGGAGCTGTGAAAGCTACGGACTTTGTGAGCACTAAGTTTCTTTAAAATAATGCTACTTGATTTAGCTAGAAACTCAACTATCTCATTCTAGGCAACCACTTTTGAGAAATTTGTTATGAAATTATTATAGGTTTGAGAGAGTCTTACTTTGACACCATCTATATCCATAACACGAAGAGCTGACTTGCTGTCTGCAAATGTCACCAGCATTTGACCTCCACTGATCCTAGTAAAAAAAGGCAGAGGACAGAAAACAGCGCATTTTACTCCACCACTGAATGAAAAGCCTTAAAGGCAAACATGATAGTTTTGTACAGCTACATACTTGGTTTTAGTTGTATTTTCCTCAGAGGTCTAGGTTTTGGGGAGGAGCAAGTGATCTATGAATCCCAGTTGGGTTCCTCCTCTCCCCCATCCTCCCTTGTGTGAGTCCAGCACCCTGCCCTTTACTAGGTTGCTCCTGAAGCAGCAGTACAAACATCTCAGCAGATGTTGACAGGATACCTATTCTGATATCCACACTCCCTCTGTACCAACTTCCATGGTTCTGCATATCCCTCACCTCACAGGACATCTGATGTTCCCAAAAATGAGAGGTGAAGATATTCAAAACACTTGTATTCAATTTCTAGCGAAGAATTCAACATGCAGGAAAGGAATTCAACATGCTACTTTCTAATACAAAGTTAATTCTGTCAGGACAAAACGGGAATTTCTATAGATAACATGCCATTTCAGATCCCAAACTTACCTGACCAGAACAATAGTGCCATAATCCTCAAACATTTGCATAAGCTCTGTACGTACATCCTCAGGAAATTCATTTTTCTCTTCAGGTGTTGGTGACAGCAGATTTACCACTACTGTGGCATCCAGTGGTCCCTGGAAAGATGACACTTCCTGGAAAACACTCTCACGGGCAGCTTGATTAACTTCCTGAACTTCCACTTCTACAATCGCTAACACTGGCCTACGTGAAACAAAGGAGAAATTCGTATTTAAAATTAAGATAAACCTCACCCATATATAAAATTAAAATCAATGTCAAGCAGTAGGACAAGTAAGTACTTAGTTGTGTGAGGGATAAACAGTGTACTGTTTAAACTCTATACAACTGTGATCACTTTTAACTCCACGATGTCAAATCTCATTGCAAATATTTAATTAAGCCTGCTATACCTTAGAAGGAAGTGATTATTATGTATGTTGTACACAGAAAGAGAAGCGGAACATATTGCTTAAAGACTTACTGCAAAAAATCACTGTGGCTGGTAATGCAGCTAGTAGATTGTTTCATTTCCCCTGCAGTGGAAGACCATGCCTTGAGCACTGTTTATTTACATATATATTTATATTTACCACCCCCACATTAGCTGAATGTAACAGTGAGGACACACCATAAAGGAATTCAAATAACAATTGTGTGTATCACTTCTGGCAAACCTGCAGTCTAAAGATACCAGGATACTTCACTCAGTATCAGCTGTCTCCCAAAACATCTACAGATCAGGAAGGCAATATATTATTTTCTGTTAGACAAGGCCACATAAAGATGTCTTCTTACAAAAACTAAGAACAAGGTACTCTAAGCGTATAATGTGGTTATGCAGCAAACATATGTCAATCCATCACATTGTAAGCAGCCAACACTGCAAAATTGCTTTTTCAGCCATTTCTTACAAATTACCTCTGTGTGTTAGATCTAAATAAAATTGAGAAAGCCGCATGAAAGAGTAAAGCTTGTCTCATCTCAGTGGATGCAATCCACATCCTGAGATGGCTGCTCTTCTGTATCAAAATTGCTGTCTCCTGCTTCCAGTAGAGCAGGCTTTGGAACACATTACCAGAACATACGAAAGCAACAAGAGCAGAGCTAGAAAGGAATAGTAAAGGGGAAAAAAAAAAAACTTTTAACTATTTCTATAAGCGCTGTGAATCATAATGCATTTCCATATGTCACAAAGATATAGCTAAGCCCTTTTTCCAGCACAAACCTTGGGAAAGCAAACCTGCTGACTGTAATTAAAAAGTGTTTTTTTGCAGTCAAGTTTGCTGAAATAGAAAACCAATGTACAACAGCCATGTTTCACAGATTGCATCCTCAGGGTCCTATATAATGAGTGCAGCAGTTCCACCGCGCTTTGTGGAACACAGAAATGTCAAAGCCTTGACACAGAGAAACTGATTGCAAGAGGCATGTTTTTCCATTGCTGGAGAAATACAGAACAGTTCTCACATGCAAAAGCACCACGAGAAGCACAGAGCCAGCTTCTGTGGGTCACTGAGCACTGCTATGAGGAACAACACTATAGCACTTCTAGAAGGCATGCAAGGGGTGAGGCAAAGATTATCCTGAATGCAAGGGAGCTTTCTGGGCATATTTATTACAGAATTTGTTTCAGATAAGTGAAGCGGTGAACAAGTTTAACAAAGATAAGTCATTCATATCCCTAAAGAGAAGTTAATGATATGGACCAGTCAGAGGCACTGGTCTTTGTTTTTAGCTCCTTCTCCCATCTCCATTTCTAAGGGAAGCCCAGAAGCCCAATACTTCACTACTCTGGAGAGGTCACACTTGGCCCTATGTACATGGCTCACACCTCTTCAGGCCACACAGTCCCAAATTCCTCCTCTCCCTCAGCAAGGTGAATGGAAGTCCATCAGAACAACTTGTTTTGGTATCAGAGCTTTCCAAAACCAAGCAATAGAAAGCCCTCAGTTTTCTCTGTTTGTTGCTGCAACTCACCCAACCCTTCCTGAGATCACAGTGCAGCAGAAATCAATACAGACCATAGATACTTTCCACCCTGGTATAAAACCCACCATGAGGGGAAAAAAACCCATGAAATGGATACTGAACACAGAATAAGACTTTAATTCCTGTTACAATTCAGTATGACACATTCTAACTTAGCGGCCCTTTCTCTGATTATTTGCTTAGGACTTTACCTGTGGTCAGATGCTTGCAGCTCCGCTCTGCCATAGTACATCAAGGCTCCAGGGGTCCAGGTGTGCCTGACTTTAGTTTCAGCATTCAGATCACTGTCTAGAAGATTGATCTCTCCAGCTATGCAGCACAAAACATGATTTAAAACTCACTCAAATCTTGTTTTACTAACAGTTAAAAGCTATTTATTAGGATACACTTCACAGACCCTAGTAGGGGGAGGTGGGGTTTTTTTGTTCTTGTATATGCTATTCAAAGAAGAGCTTGTGTCCTAAAGGACTTACAAGTAGAGACTAGGAAAACAAATACAGAAAGGACAAGGAGTGCAACAGAGACAGCTGATCACTAGAAAAACACACGTGCAAAATGGTTAACCTGAATGTCACCCAGTCAATTAGCTGGACAATCTGGGTTGACAGAAAGTCACAGTAGTATTTTTCCTCCTGTCCCATTATTGAGCATAGAGACAGACATCATACTTGCAAAATACACTGCAAATCTGAATAATACATAAAGTGTGGAGAAACAATACACAAGAGGAGAAAGCAAACCCATGCATATCCAACCTCCAAATACTTCCATTGCAATGCATTAAGGTGACAGAAAGTACTCCCAACATTATGCTAGAGTGAGGTATTATATTGCTGTCAATAACAGCAAAGTTTTTAGGCCACTGTTTGGGCTAATGGATAACTCTATTTCTTTTCTGTGGAGATGAAAAAAAGTTAATATGGAATATAGCATTTCTGCCTAATCACTCACACTGGGGCTACACTTTCTTCTCAGAAGGCAAACAGTCCTCTACCGTAGAGCAGCAAAAAAGAAGCCAGGCAAAAGAATTAGAGCTGGGAGGCAGAAGAGCCTCGACACCAGCAGTAAAGGAGAGAAACTCTGGCAGCAACTAATTAGAAAAGCTTTAAAGGGCTTGGAACATGGGCAAGTGGACAAGGGGTCAGTTATATACCTACATGAGCTAGCTGTGGGAGCCCTACAAGCTCTAAAGAAATGTACCTGCCTCAGCTCTTGCAGACTAGCTAGATAGGTCCCACGTTCTGTGTGAACTCCATCAACTAAAGTCCTCCTAGGAGGACTTTTGCCATGCAAAATAAGGAATATGCATTGAAAATGCTGAAGGGTTTTCCTTCTCCTAAAATGAAACCAGCCAGGACAAGGGGGCTCTTTTAACTTCCTTATTATGTCTCTCACAGTTTTTCTTTCCCAGATTACATCTCTATCAATGGTTTAAGCTCCTCATTTTACTTTACTTTTCATTTCTTATTTAAGAGTGAATAACTCTATATCACATTGAGACGTACTCTCTGATTACCCTAGTTTTGCTTTGTAGTTTTTACACTTAGTGTAATCATGGTATGACTTGGATTCCAAGCAATAGTTCCCAGGCACATGAAAAATCACGACCACAGGCACAAACTAAATTACTTCTCCAGCAATTACGCTTTCAACATGAATTTGTTCAGATTTTATATACATTGGGAGGTAAATGTACCCGCAGACTGAGAGAATGGTTATGAAAATTGTCCCTGGATACAAAAAGAAATACTTCTCATTTTGTTATTGTAACTTTTGAATAACAAGTGAAAACAGCCCTTCTGTTGTGCCGGCCACTCGTGATCTCAAAATACTTTATAAGCACCAATTAATGAAATCTCTCCCAATTCCAGAAACTAGCAGAAATATTCCTAAGAATTACCAAGGCAGAAGAAATTACAAAAAAAGTGCTTACACATCTACTGAGGAAAATTCTTACAACAATCTATCCATTATAACATGAGAACTTTATGTGGACTAATGATTCTGTTGAAAAGCAATAGAATAATTTTTAGATTGCTACAGCTGGATTGCTTTCAGCTCCTCAGTGTGCTCCCAACACCTTTTCAATCTGTAGCACAAAGCCTTTGTTCACACACTCAAGAAGAAAGGGCTCTCTATCTCTGCAAGTTATTCCAGTGAAGCCGAAATAATATCTGCTTGAGTAAAGCCACTGCAATTTGACTAAGCCTATGGGACACACCTAAAGACAGCTCTCAGCCCAGAGCTCACTCACTGCCCTCCTCACCATTCACTATATTAAATCCCCTTATGTGGGTTCTGGATGAAACCTAAAACAACTTTCAGATAAAGAAGGAGGAAAGATACTACACACCTGTTTTTTCAAAAGGCAGTTTCTTTCTCCACCAAAGCACTCTGTCAGTCCAAGCTGGGGTTCTGCACTTATCACTTGTATCATAAGCCTCTGAGCCAACGTCATATTTATATGTTGGTCCAAAATTAATAGTCCCTTCATGGAAGTCTTTAAAAATCTATGAAAAGAAATATCATCTCTGACTAAGTTACAGATGAGGTAGGTGCCATTGTGATATATCAACTTCCTTGCAAACAAACAACATTCTGATTTTTAAACAAATTACCACACTCATCTACTACAAGCAAGGGTCTGAAAATGCAACTTTTTCACTCTCAAGGAATTAGACCAAGCCAACATGCAGGTATTCAAGAAAAGGAGACGCATTGCCTTACTTTTCCACTGGATTTTTGTTGCTGTAGTTGATCAAATTCCAAAAGTGTCTTCCAATCTTGACGTTTGAGAAAATAAAAGACTTCCTCGTATGTTAGATCAATGCGATAGTTAAAATCACCACACCAGAACACATAGTCATGTGAGAACACGCTCCGCCCCTAGTTCAGAGGTATAGAATACCATGTTAATGTTAAATCTGATTCATAAAAACATATTTTAAATAGACTGAAATATACAACTCAGTCTCTGAATTACTAAATACCTGACCTACTTGGCACATTCTATTTGTTAAAATCCATCTTGTGCTAAAAGTGAATGATTCCTTCACTAGCTTTTGCATCCCACTGAATTTTGTAAACAAGAGTGGCTGTTTCCTGAAGGTATGTTGAAGCTGGGACCACAGCTTTATGTTCACAATTTGGCTATCATGAATATTAAAAATATATGTTTGTTTCCCTAACACATTTCACACACATATATTTACATATTCTAAATATAACTCAAAAAGTACATATTCAGCAAAACAAGTCCTGAGTAAGAACAAGCTCCATATTTGATCTTATATGCACATCATAGTTTTGTAAACGTACTGAAACAAAATGGGAATGAAAATTCACTCCAATTCTAAGTTTAACATCCTATCCTCTAAGTAGACTCCCCCCCCCCACCTCAGTGAAGCAATAAACCTCTAAAACCCAGAGATTTGTAAAGGAAATGTTCCAGAGCTCTGGCTGTCACAGCACTAGAGGGCACTCTTTATATGCATTATACACACAAGGTACCTTTAGCTCTTGTAAATGTAGAGGACATAAAATAGTTAACAAGGTATTAGAAGGAAAAACTACCATAAGCACAACTTTATGGCTATTTGGAACAGAGATATTCTATGCAGGACGTTCAGACTGTCAGCATTAGTTCATACATAAAACAACTAATTGATATGCTGCATGCGCCAAGCCTCTAAACCTTGCAAACAACAGGGAGTTAAAATTTTATGATTTGCAACCTTAATACCATTTTTTTGCTGACTAACCAGGATACTCAAACTGGCCCATTCGCTCCCTGGTTTAAGATCTCTCCAGAGAGGTCTGAGAAAGAAAGCATTGCAGAAATTAAAGCAACCAACATTATGAAAAGCAAAGAAGGACTGCTACCACATCCCACGGGTTATCTGCTGGCCTGAGGAGGCAAGTGTGAAATAAAACACTAGGGTGATTGATTTGACACCATTTAGGGGAAAAATTATTCATACAGATCAGTAGTGCCTACTTGCCACACTCTGAGAAAAGCCAGCAGTTCCTTGACAGTGACAAATTAATGGGAAAAAATGAAGGGAACAGCAAGTACCATATCAGTGACCAGGAACTGATATATCATTCCCAAGCAGGAGCAGCTCAAGCTCTGATGTACTGAGGGGCACAGATGGTCTTTTAGGAACCCATATTACTGCCAGAAAGAGCTGTAAATACTATACTCTCCAGCTCTAACACCAGTCACCTAGATCTTATCCATGAGGCCCTACAGATTGGTCAGTTAAGTTGCTCTGTTCTGAAAGATCAACTTGAAAACCGTTCAAAGGTGAGGACTTTCCAAGCACGGCAGCAACTGTATTTTTTGAAAGGCACAGAACTTTTGTAAAGCAAGTTCTGCACCGGGAGGTACTGGTCTCCTGTGAAACATGCTTATTTTTTTTAATGTTTTCTTTACCATTTTCTTTTATGCCCATTCTCCATGGACCTGAGATGACTTCTTTGATGACCTGTCATCAAAGACAGCCTGAGACCAGCTTTCATAATGTAAAGATACAGCCTTTATCTCTGATGTTTTTAGCACTCAAACACCTGCACTTACCATTGGGAAGCTGAGTTTCTGTGTGATTTCTTTATAGTCTTCGTTCCTCTCTTTCACCTGAGTCTGGCCAGCAGTTAAGTGACTGCATATGAAGCAGAAACTGGTACTATAGAACTGAAAACGAATGCTCACTGCCCCTTTATTTCCAGCTTTTCCTCCCATTCCTGTCTTCACGGTGTCTATTGCTACATCCCTGTATTTTAAAAAATGGAAAGAGAGTAAAGGACTGCAGGGACAAGCACTCAATTAACACTAACTGCAACATAAAGGAAAAACGAGCTTACAATGCCATGTCTTCTCCCATCCAGAAAGCCTGCTGCTTTTACACTCCATCTTTCAGGTTGCAAAGTTTCTTGATTACATTCATGCCCTAACATTTCAAATTAAGTATAATACAACAGAATAGAACTAAAACTATTTGAAATTATTTTCCCCCTTTTCTTCTCTTTCTGTATTGTTTGGAAGGGACATTTATTTCTGAAATATTGAAAATTTCTAGAGAATATACTTTTCAAGTTTACCTCTACCATCATCTTTAAAATAGTGACAATAACTAATTTTACTATTACATTTCCTTTTACTTTTGAACATATGGGAATCTGCTTTTCAAGACAGTTAATGATTTAATTAGTGTTACTATGTGTTGAAACGCATCTTCACAGTTGATGTTGGGTTTTTCAGTCAATTAAAGAGCAACAGATCATAACCCATAATTTGTTAAATCAGATGCAATAAAATCAGTGATTACTGGATACATCTTTCTATATCTAACTCCTAAAATGAGTTCTGCACTGATGACAAATTGCTTAGGGCCTCCACGTTGTTAATTACACAGTATTTCAATGTCATGATCAGCATACACTTTACTATAGAAAGATGACTTGGCAAAGCAGCCCACCTGCTCACAGGCTAATTTCTCCCAGATAGCCAGTCTACTTGGAGAATAAAGCATGCCTGTCTGATCAGATAAGTAAATTATGAGATCATTGTTGTGACCAACCCCAGCACTATGAATGTCCTTCCCAATGAGAAAATTTTACTTTCCAGATATAAGTCAGGCAGATCTGGACTAGAATACTACTGGCTTTAAGCAAGGGGCAAGCGGAAAACCACTAAGTCTTATGTGAGTTATTAACAGGAATTAATATCCGAATGATCCAAGATGTTACAGGCTCTTTCTCCCCACTCTTTATTTCTTCTCTCTCCCTTACTTCTTCTCTTTCTTCTTTCTATTTAAACTGTGCACTTCCTGATGTATTACTCGAATTTCTTGCAAGCCAGGTGAAAAGTCAAAAACTGACAGAAACACTTCTCCTCTAGACTGCTTCATATCAGCAAAATACGTAATTTTTAAAATCATGTTGAAGAAAGATTACTGGGAAGGTAGCAATGCGAGACCACCAGGGGTACCTGGATTGCATTACTCTGCCTAGCAGCACTTGATGTTGCACAAGCTCTGCATTGACTTTCTCAATAGATATGAGATCAGAGAGAAGAAAGAGGCAGCTTTGGTATTTTAATCACAAAATGCAGTGGCCAATCAATGCCCCTAACATGGAGCAGAGAGCACTGTTTGGATCACTCTAGACTTTAAGGTCAGAGAGATGCCCAAAAATAGTTTTGGCTAATTATTAATTTCCTACCATTTACAATTAGCCTGCATAATTCCTGCTCATGGCAAAGGCGTTTTAATGTAGATATCCCTGTGGCTTGAAATATGTGTGCCCTTCACGGGGCAAGAGGAGTTTGGCCAGTCTCTAGGGACATTGATGCTAGTAAGCTGGGGACACACAGCTCTGCACCCTCCTGAGGGCACATAGTTCTGGTTCTTGTGACATCTGGGAGAGACCAACACTTAATAGGCCTTTATATTCTATAAAATGTCAGGGGACAAAATTAGCTCTCTCTCCCCCACCCCCCTTTCCACCTTTTCCACCATTCTTTCCAGGCCTGGAACAAGCCCTGTTTCCATATGGAAACACTAAGGAGAGGGTTAGAAAGTAAAACCTGCCCTTCAGGCAGAGGCAGGCACTTGCCTTCACTTGGTGCTCCAAACACTCTTGGACTTAGTAGCTCAGGTCATTCCTTTTCCAGAAAGACAGCACCCAAACAAGGTGCTACACCCTGAGTGCCCACTCAGAGCATGCCTGGTTTCTCAGCTGAACCGGAGGAAGATACTGTGCCTGCCTGGCCTTTGTGCTACCCAGGAGGATGGACTCCAGACTACTTCTGCCTGGAAACAGGTGTCTCTCCCACACCGAGCAGAGACCAGAATACAGATTTGCACGATTCCCACAAAGCTCAAAAATCACTCCCACCCTCTCTGGCTACATTCCAACAACAGATGTTAATAAGACATAAGTTGGGGGTTTGTTTTGGTTTTGGTTTTTTACCTGATGAAGGGGACATGATACGGTCGTACAAAGATGAAAAGACAAACACCAACAAGTTGTGCTGATGTCAGCTGAATGTAGCGATGAGTCCTGGAAATAGCTTTTTGAAGCTGCTCTCCCCACATTTTTCTATTTGTTGTACTGGAACAAATATAAAATAATTTAGTGGAATCAAAACAAACCACATACAGTCAATAAAATGAGCAGAATATCTGTGTCTTAGGTTTACAGACATCCCATTAGGCTGTAGAACTGGAAGTGCTGCAGGATGCATGGCAGAGACTGATAAAACCTTCTCGTGAGCCAGCCCAGAGTTAACAGGGTCAGTGAGCCCAGGCACAGTAAACAAATATAGTCCTTCTGCTTCTGGACATGAGAGGGATTTTGTCTACTATGCTTAGAAAGATCCATGCTCATGTGAGGTTTGACACCCCCATTCACTGGGGATACCTGGAAACTGACTGTAGTAATCATAACCATAAAAACAAAAATACATGTCAATCTCATGACTTGTAAGATTTCTTATGCTCACAGTGAAGAAGAGATCTCTGGATCTTCTCTGACTGGGAGATGACTGGCTACCCACAGCTGTCAGCTGTTCTTAGCTGGAGGTCTGTGGGTGGGTGCATGCACCTTTACTTCTGCAGCCCTAAATTTTCTTATCTCCAAAGTCAACTGATACATGCAGATACACGGCCAGCACAGGAGCCATGCTAAACACTGCTGTAACTTGTCATTACCAAAACAGACAACTAACTGGCCTGATGAATCAGCATTGGAAACATTATCTTCATGGTTCCACCCTGATTCAGATTCAAAAGGTCCAGCATACACAACAGCCAATGTACAAGCTGACATGCCAAGCTCAGGCTTTGCCTTTAACTCTTTCTCTAGCCATAATTTTCACAAATACAATTAGCCACAGAGACATTTCATTCATTTTAGAATTCCCACATGAATGCCAATTATGTTTGAAGTCACTGAGCACATTTTTCCAACATCAGACAGGGGTTTAAGGACAAGCATTAAATCAATGTCAACCATCAGAATCCTTCTCTGCCAACATAAAGACTTAAGAGACTTAGAAAACATAGTGTATTCTCCTATAGAGAAGTTCACAGAAAAACAGCACTTTCAACACCATCCCAGTGCCATTTGTTAATCGCAAACATATTTCCAGCTATGATTACAAGCAACAGACTTGGAAGGAAGTATTCTACACATCTGACCATAAAAAAGAACAAGTCTGGAGGCTTTTGTTTGTCTGGCTCCTTTAGGGGAGAGGGTGCTCTTCTGGAGTTGGTTTTTTTGTTTGAGTTGTAGGTTGGGAGTTTTTTGTTATTTGGGGGGTCTTTTTACCTACCTGGCATTCACAATATTTCCTGCACTTAATTCAACCATCTCTTCAAATCCCACTGCAAATATGTCAGGAGGGCAGTTATCATCTGTTGGCAAGAGGGAAAAATTCACAAGGGTTATTATTTTGTTGTTTCTTCTAACAACTTGTTTTCTAATTTCCATCAGACATAATTCTTGTAGTTCTATCTTGTGTATCCCCTGCCAAGCTATACATATTCATACCTCCTTTAATCTAATCTCACAAAACAACCCCTGCAGTTCTTCTGAAATTTTTTTATGCTTTTCTCCCACCAGTTGGTCTCCCATCTCTCTTGCAGGAAGCAGTTCAGAACAGGGCATTATATTGCAGCAATGTTAAGATGAGAAAATATTCAATGTTCTCCCTTCCCTCACCCCACTCATCACTAAAGCCACATCATCTCACTACCCACCATCTTTCACCCACTTGTCATTTTACCCAACATGCTTTTCCTTTTCGACACCGATTCCTATGTAACTGAACTTACTGTCCACACACCAGTATGTCACTTCCCTCTCAATGCCTTTAGTAAATTTATCTACTAGTTTAGAGAAGCCTTCAAAGTTTCTTTTTCTTTCTTCTGAGTCCTTCTTAGATCACCTGCACTTAAGGTTAGGTTAGGTCACTCGAGAGCACAGTGACCCTCCCTTCCCTAGCCCAGGTCTGTGGATATTACCCTGGTAAAACACCAAAGACCAAATGCTCTCGTATAATAGCGTGAAGCATAGCTGTTGACCCCTTAGGTCTATCCATTGCTTAAAGGGATTTTATTTTTTTTTAAACTGTCATGCATACAAGGTAACAGTAACTTAATTCAACATGAAGATCTACATAGTAGATATCCACTGGAATCTAATCAGATCTGCCTCAGAAAATGAGAACAGAAAGGTTGAAATTAGCACATGACAGCTAGCCTCCTTTACTGGCTCAACATGACAGGCACTGTCAGATGTGTATTTCCCATCAACAATTTTGGAGACGTCTTTGAACACTTAGCCATTTGTGTAGGCACTGCACCGGCATTACCATGAACACAGACATTTGCATGGTCACACCCTAGCTCTGCCCATTCACGTAACTCAGCTCTCTTCCAGAAGCTGCTTAGACCTAACACATTATGGTTGCCTGTACAATGTAGTCCTGCTCCTCCGGTTCTCTTAGGGGAAAGCCTGGCAAGGCTGGCACATGACAGGCTCTCAACAAATTTTAATATCATGGGCATAGTCATGTGTTAACACATCTAAACTGTTTCTCCAACAGACTGGACCACTCACCCACCTAAGCTGCTCAGAGTACAGTGGGCTGCACCTAATCACATATCCATGCACTCAAGGACTAAGGGTTCAAACGAGACAACTTGTATAAGTAGCCAAGGATTTGAGGAATGAATTGCTGAGCTTCAGGGTTAGGCACAGGACTATCCCTGTGATGCCCGCAGGGAGCTAAATATTCCACTGTAATAAAAAAAGCACAGGTTTGGCCATAGTTTTGCAACCACTCAATTTTTAAATGACAGAACATTCACTTCTCATTTTCCCTAAAAAAATCTGTAAATCAATTATGATACCTGACCCTGAAGAAATTCAGCAACCAATTTAAGCAAGCCACAAGCACAAGAGCTTTCCACACTGCTAAAAAGAACAAAATTGCCTTCAACAAAATCTTTTTGTCTGAAAGTTTGATAGTAATGTTTCCAGACAACCTCAGAGTCCAGATTGTAAAGATATGTTTAGCTCCAGATAAAGACCAAGGAGACATTCTGAGGGCACCTAAGCATGTAGCTCCTGTTCACAATGAGGAGCAAAGAACAGAAATATGGAAGAAGAAAATGAAATATGGGATGCAGAATACACCCCACAATGGCATGAGAGAGACCTCTGAATTCTGACCTGCTGAAGGTTCAAGAGAGTCACATGGTATAGGTTCAGGAGTTGCTCTGTCAGGAGCCCTTCACACACCATTCCACTGCCACAGGGAGGCAACACAAGTCTACCTGGAGCTGAATACACCCCTAAGAAATGACAGAAAGTGCCCTCTAAGATGCACTGCCTTTACAGCTGGTCAAATCTTGTGTCCCAGCATACTGTCTCTAGAGATGCCAGCAAAGGCAAAAAGAGGTCAGAGGGCTGGAGCACCTCCCCCTATGAGGACAGGCTGAGAGAATTGGGGTTGTTCAGCCTGAAGAAAAGAAGGCTCCAGGGAGACCTTATAGCAGCCTTCCAGTACCTGAAGGGGGCTACAGGAGAGATGGGGAAACACTCTTTATCAGGGAGTGGAGTGATAGGACAAGGGGGTAACGGTTCTAAGCTGAAAGAGGGTAGATTTAGACTAGACATTAGGAAGAAATGTTTCACTGTGAAGGTGGTGAGACACTGGAACAGATTGCCCAGAGAAGCTGTGGATGCCCCATCCCTGGAGGTGTTCAAGGCCAGGCTGGATGAGGCTTTGAGCAACCTGGTCTAGTGGAGGGTGTCCCTGCCCATGGCAGGGGGGTTGGAACTAGATGATCTTTAAGGTCCTTTCCAACCCAAACAATTCTATGATTCTATGAAATATTGCTTACACATTTTGACTGTTAAGTCTTACCCTGAAATTCAGAAACTCCAGAGAGCTTGGGAGAATCCAGCAGCCAGTCTGTTAGCTCACTGGTACCGAGGATGTTGCTTCGAAACTGCTTCCCCCCGTTCACGTTCCATGTGCCCGTGGCAACACGAACACGCTTGAAGCTTGTGAATTCAAACTGACGCTCTGACATGGCCTTCAAAATACTCGGAGTTACTGACAGAAGAGGGGAGAGAGAAAGAGGGTGTGTAAAAGAAGGATGTGCTGTAAAAGGACAGAAAGCATACAGACAGCAGCAACACAGTCACTGTGAAATAGTGACATTACCCTAGCAGCACCTACACAAAAGCTAAGGAATAACTCCAATGGCAATACCTACAACATAACTGGGGTTGATGTCAGCAATTTCTCCTCCTGAAACAAGGCACCCTTTGAAAGCTTGTGAAGGGCTGGTCACACACTTTGAGCACACATCTTCCTGCACTTCTTCAAGTAATAAGCAAATAAATTATTTTTCCTCCCTTAATCTTTTCAGTTTATCCTACAGCAATCAAGCATGTCACAAGTTATGACTTATATTGAAGTCCTGAGAAGTTTAAAGTGTGGTGGGAAAGGCGGAGAGCAGCACAGTCTCACATCAGTCCAAATCTAGCACTGTCGTGGCTCTCTAGCCTGGTCAGAACTCTTCACAGGAAACTGCTATATTCACTTATTTTTGATGAGCACAGAGAATTAGCAGTGTGCTTTTTTTTTTGTGTGAGCCACTGAGGTAACCTTAATCTTTAACTATCTGATTTGCACTGGCAGTCAGGCATAGAGATGTTATCTGTATTTTCTGTGTGGTTCACATCAGGCAACAGCCCGAGGATTGAAGTGGCACTGAACAGTTCAAGTCTATCCTATTAAAATTTGGCCATTCTCTGGAGCAAACTGACCACCCAATACTGCTTGTTGGTGCAATTATCCTATATTATGCACACAAGTATCTTCTCAGAGAAAGCTAAGTTGGTTTACTCTAGATGGGTGCAAACAAATGTGTATATATTGTGGACTATCAGGACCCTGGAGTAAAGCAGGGAATGAACCAACATAACAACATAAATGTTCCTTTAAAGATCCAAATGGCTAAAAGCATGCGCAAACTAAAGATAAAAAGTCTGAGTTCAAGAGACTTCCTCAAGGCAAACTCAGACAGGACCAGACTGGGAATACAGCTCTAAAATCTTTCCCTCTGGTCCAACTCCTCTAAACTGTCAGAGGAGATCATAATCAAAGAGGACACAAACATACTCAGAAGTCTAAAACAAAATATGAGAAATAAGCACAGTGGAATTAAAACACACAGGAGTTGTGCTGTGGTCACTTGAAAGCAGTGTTTTAAGCAACAGATTTGTGCAAAAGTAGGTTATTTATTGTTTGGTTTTTGGTTTTTTTTTTTTTTTTTTTTTTCCAAAAAGGTGCAGTTGCTTATATCTGACAGCTAAAAACAAACACAAAAGCAAAGAATTTACACTGGCCTTACCCAACAGTGCAGTGTGGTCCATGAGCATCTTGCCTTTATCTGCATATTCCTCACTGAAGAAGTCACCTATGAGCAGCAACTTGATGGCTTCCTGCTTTACTGCATCAAAGAAATTTGACTGAATGGTGCGAGACACAGAGCGGGCACCATCCTTGAGCTTCCCAACCTACATCAGACAAGAATCATCAGTGCAAGTGACACTGAAGAGTAAATCAGACATCTTTCTTTAATTGTGAATAAACACTTTTGCCATTTTTCTTTACCTTGTGCTTCCCCTCAAGAGCACGACTGCCAGTAAATACTCGGCTCAGATTATGACCGTTGAGAGTCCACATCACTTTGTAGGATTCCACAAAGCGCTCAGTTATAGATTTAGAGTTCAACCCAAGGCTCTCTAATTGAGCAAGCAGGATCTGGATTAGGTGCGAAAGAAGAAAAAGCAACATTGTTCTTAAACGTGTGTTTCTTTTTATCCTCAGTTTAAGTATTCTAGCCAGCACCATCCTGTATCACAGAGCTGGCAAGACATACTTGTGTAACTGAGGCTTATGCCCTCTTTCCTGTCTCTGCCATGGAACAGACAATATATGCAGTACGGGCATCCATGAAAAGTCCTCTGACAAACTCACCTCCAGGGCAATGAAGGACTGTACACTATTAGAACGATCCAGGCAGTCCAAACAATTCATTCGAAAAACACCTGTCTGCAGACTTTGGAAACCAAACACAAGAGAAGGGAGGGGAAAAAAAGGTATATTTTAAAATAAAATCTAATCATGAGTTGAATGAACAAATTCATCAAAGGTTCAGCCTGAATATATCCACCCACACCTTCAGAGTGCAAGCACACTGGGCACAATGTATGCCATTAACATGTCTAATTACTTGACTACCTCTGTAACACCATATTAGCAAATCCACGCACTGCTAATTTTGCACATTCCAAACAATGGAGATGCAGTTAAGCCAAATAATCTATTTAGTACCAAGCCTACACTTGGTCTCAAAATTGCATTTCAAGATGGGCATTTACGTGCATGGTCCAAACACAGCAAGAAAACTGGGAAGCCAGGACAGGTGGTACCTGGCTATGCTGAGTCAGAGGGGCAAGGACACTCACCGTGGACTTACATTCTCGCCCTTTGTGAAGATTCCAAAGTCCTCCCAGTGCAACTTCAGCTGAGGCCTCAGCAAATTTTCCAGTTTCTCAGTTTTCCCACCTTTTGCAAATTGGTGGTAGTCAAAGTTTATCATGGGAGTGTCTGCCGCATGGGAAGAGGCCCACAGCAGTTTCTGTTTCAATAGAGAATGAAAGAAACCAAATCCCGCTCAAGCCACAATGTAAGGATTGATACCAGCATGCTTTTGTCATTACTAAACTTTGGCTGTTCATCACATTTTCACAGGGAATTCTGAAAGGCCAAACATGAAAAAAGCAACCGAAGTTCCCTATTTGTTTTCTTTCCAGAATTAAATTTTATTGTCAGACCCTAATTTTTCTGCAGGGGAACTGAAACTGTAACTTGAAAGCATACATCAGAATTGCTGTCTGTGCCTTGGCTAGTGGCAGCCGTGCAGCAGTGGGCTGCTACCTCTGTGCGTGAGGGTGTACAGCAACAGTGATGCTCTGGGCAGGCTCAGGACCAGGACCCTGATGGGAAGAGTGTCCAGAGCTTCTTAAGGTAGAAGAGCATAACAGTGCATGGCTGTATTTTTTAACCATTCCTGAAGCACCAAGACATGGGAAAACACGGCCCTAATTTAAAGCAGAGGGTGCCTGGGGAGGAAGTAACAAAGAAATTATGTCTCGGGAAACATATTATAAAATGTTTGAGGTAAACCACAAAAGTGAAAGAAAAGGCACAAAGAACCTCATTATTTCATCTCCAATTTCCATGACCTCACATGCATTTCCACAATCACCACAAATTTCATTAAGGTATCGGTAACAGATACGATAATAACACATCCTGCTCTCCATGACAAAGCCAGAGAGAACTGTTATATTAACTCTTAACTATGCAGGCCTTCATCTACTCTCTTCCCTCCTGCACATTCTTATCCCAAGAGATGGATGCTTTTCTCCACTTAGACTGTGATGCAAAACTGAACAAAACAATTTGGATATTAAATTAAAAGTGCACCTGCAGCAGTTACACCAGTACAATTGTATCAAGTAAGCCATTAAGCCTCCCCTGCAGAAACAGATTTAAAGGTGTTGGTGTTTGGAGAGAGATGTGCAAAATACATTTCATTACTGTTAGAAAAGCCAAAACACTTGGTATTTGCTTCTCTGCTGTCAACATCTCAACTTGCCTTTATAGCTGCTGGCACTAGTAATGCACTTGAGGCTGACATCTACCCACTGCATCAGCAGAAATCATTGTCAGAGTACTTGTAACTCTGCACTACAGCAGTGCTTTTACTGTAAACATAATTATGTCTTTTATAGAGGATGCTTATGAGAGGAACAGCATTACTGGGAACAGTATTGATTTTTTGGTCTGGTAACAGCCGATTCAGGTAACAGCTGAAGGTAAATTGGTCATTTATAATTTTTTATTTTCCTGTTGGATAAGTGAATGGTAGCAGTGACATTCTGATCAAGAAAACCCAGCAGCAGTAATTACAAGAATGTTTTGAACCAACTCTGATAAGAATTACTAAGACTGCAGAAAAAATTGTGAGAAGACAAAGGAATACAAGCAAAGGGAGACAAAGAAACAAACTAATGACAGAAGAGGAGAAAAGTTTTCATTCCTAATCATTCCCCTATGAACTACTTATTTTTAATTCAAGCCCTTTAAAATCATCAAAGTCAAAATTAACTATATATTCTTTCCAAATATCCATTTACTACAACACAAAGGTAAAGAAAACACCAAGAGGTGGCTATTTTGAATGGGTACAAAACTTCCTTTTCCAGTGCTGTCAGTCTAAATTCTTTCAGCTCACAGAGTGCTTTCATAATTTATTTATTTTTTAAACAGGGATAAAGTCTAACAATTTAAACAAAACAGGTCTTTATTATAATTAAATTAACAAATACAAGGCCTTTATTTTAGAGACACCCTGTTTCTGACTTAATTTGTGGTTGTAAGATACTGGCCAAAAGATGGTCTTCAAGAATGCGAGAGTTTGATAAAATAACAGTATTAAATTCACAAGAAATGTCAGATTTGTATCCTCCTAAGTTATTTGAACATTTCAGAAGTGATTATCTCTCACTCTTAAATATAAATGTTTTTGCAAAATAAACTATTAGAACTATTTTAAAGATAGGGAAACCAAGAAATTATAGAGGCTTAGCTGTGTCATGCAGAAATTCACTAAGACGCTGAAAATAGAAGGTAGGACCAGACTTCACTTCTGTACCCTCCTCATTGCCTTGCAAGCTTTAGTCATAATCACTTTCTTTGGCCATATTCCGTACAAGGGGGGAGTTTCACTTTGTCACTTTCCAGTGGGGAAGCGGATTGTCCTTCCCAGCTCTTATGGTTGAAGAGGAAATGGTCACACAGAAAAAACTGCCAAAGCACTCAAGACGCTCCTTGTCTCGAGTACATTATTCCAACAGAGAGGGAAACAAATCAGGAACTATTTAACTACAACTTTTATTTTGCTTAGTTTCACACAGTGAACATTCGAACTCAGAACTGCTGTATCGTTCTTTACCAATGATAAATACGTAACACTTACCACAGGTGTGTACTTAAACTGTTCTTCACATTATTCTTAGGAAGATACACTCCAAAGTATCTATGTCAGATTTCTAAAGCAACAGGCCCTTAGGAGGCAGACTTCCATCAACACCCAGCCAGATTCAGGCAGCTACTGCACTGCTGCACATCTCAGTGCCAGTCTGTGGCTTCAAGTACACATTAGTTTTAAAATTCTAACCATGAGAATACTGCGGTAGTACTCAGCACAGCTTTAATTCTACAATGTCTGAAATCCTTGTTTTCAGGTCTTAGTTGTGCCTAGGGACATTTAGGGGCCAGGAAAACCTCTCTCCATACATTAGACTGTCATCTGGTGCTCAGGCAGACAATTCCTATCACAATCGGTGCAAGACAGCCATTTCCTATTTACAATCAGCTTGCTCACGCTCAGTGAGCCAAGGTCAGGCCCTGGCCCCTAAGCAGTTCTGGAAATCTCATGAGGCACTTGACTGCATAGGCGACTACATACTATGACAAGGCTGACCACAATTCATTTTTTCAAATGTGAACTACTCTTAGGAGAATTGGGGCACTTTTTTTAAAAAGTCTGGTTAAAGAGAACGTGCCTAAATGTGTGAAGAAATAAGCAGGAAGGCAGTGCTGGAAATTAAGCCATTGAACTATGAAGCACTGTTCTCTCAGTATGTAACATCTAGTAAAGAGATAACATAATTTCTTAAGATATACTATTTATCACATAAGGGGCCAGAAGGGAAACAGAAGAATACGGCGGCTCAGAGGAAATCAGCAGTTAAAAAAAAAATTTAAAAATCTTTGTTTTTACCTTAAAAGCTCTGTTGAGCACCTCCTCCCCTCCTCTGCTTCCCAACAGGTTAACGATCACTTGTTTTCCATACTGCTCTTTCAGAAGCATCATATGCCTACAGCAAAAGTAACCACAATAAGTACTAAACAAACCCATGTTATGTTGCCTACTGCCTTTTTCAAAATACAGAAGTAGAGATCACCGGTTGTTCCATCCAGCAATAAGTTTCAGACACAGCAGCTACAGATATCTTCCTCAGTTTCCTTGCAATCAATTATTAAACAGTACAAATGCTGAAAGTATGCAACTAATGGACACAGTATTTTCAGTATTTCGTACTGAACTTAAAGAAAGAAGCATATTAGGAGACAGGCCCCAGATCTTTTGTGTCACTGTTAGCTTTGATATTGCCCTTTGTATGCTCCCACTTCTCAGCTGTCAGTCTAGGAAGAAACTACAAAGAGTCAGCAACAGCAATGGGGCCTAGGACTCCAGTGCCAAGGCCAGAGATGCACAAAGACACGTCATAGGTGACAGGGTTCAAACATCTCTGAGATACTGCAACATAGAATCATAGAATCTTTAAGGCCGGAAAAGACCTCAAGGGTGATCAAGTCCAATCATCAGCCCAGCACCACTTAACCCACTAAACCATGTCCCGAAGCACCACACCTACATGTTTCTTGTACACCTTGTTGGCGCCTTCGAGCTGAGGGTGACAACCTTGTTAAGCAAAAGTTTGTCCTTGGTTAGTGAGGGGAGTAAAGCCTTTGGTGCGTTCTTGGCTTCTTCTTATCATCAAGGAATAGGATGATTGCCTATTGCCTTTTTACAACCGAGACACCTGAGACATCCCAAGGCCTTCCCTTACCAGGGCCTTTGACAGGCAGTGAGTCCTTTACAGTCAGTTGTTTGTAGAGCTGGGGTGGTGCTGGTGCAGTTACAGCAGGCATGAATTCTGGAGTTAGGCTTTTGGCAGGGAGGTGGTTCTAGATCAGGATCTAGATTGCTTTATGGTTCTAGATCAGGTTTCCAGATCCTTTATGGTTCCAGCTCACTTAACAGTTTTAGATCACCTGTTGGATCTAGACTACGTTCTAGCTAGCTTTGTGGTGGGTTAGCCCTTGGCTTGGGG